CTCTGATTCACAATGTGACAAAATATATATATAGATATATATACAGGGTTACCGGCGTTCAGGACGGGCCGAACGCCTGAACCCGAACGCCCAAACGATCGGCACCCCTTCGGGAGGCGTTCGGCCATTCGGGCCGAACGCGGACAAAAAAAAAAAACAACAACAACAACAAAGTTTTCAAAAACTTCCGAAAAAAAACTATGTAATGAAAACAAATAAACTAAAAAACATTTGCCTGAGCACTACATCCAAATTCTTTACCAAATTTGAATTAAAAATTCAATACAGAAAATAAACATTATAATAAAAATAATAAAAAATAAAAAGAGAATTAAAATGAGTGAGTGTGCCACCTTCGTTTCGACACCGCCATCTTTGCCGATTTTTAATTATTGTTTGGCATTGACAAATGCCCTGAAAATTTACAGATATGTAGTTTATATAATCAATAACGCATTTAAATTTTTTCAAAAAATAATAAAATTATTTAGGCCCCGAAATAAAGTGAAAACAAAAAGTTAAAAGTAAAAAAAAACAAAATAGTGAGTGGGTGAGCACGTTTTGACACCCCCATCTTTGACGATTTTTAATGTTTTTATTGCTTAGCAGAATGACTTCAAAATTTATAGGCGTGTAGGTTACATAATAGAGAACTTAGAATAAAAAATTAAAAAAAAAATACATATTTTTAGGCCCCGCAATAGTTTTTGGCGGGGGCCAAACCAAGAGGTGTTCGGCCCCCGAACGGAACCCCGAACGCTCGGGCGTTCGGGGGCCAGCCCAGGGGCCCCCAAACGTACGGTCAGGTAACCCTGTATATATATATATATATATTTTTGAGGGGGTAGGGCTGGGGTTGCGCCACCCCATGACGCTTTCCGAATCCCCAACCCCCCTCCCCACTGGCCGCAACGCGGCCTTAAAGTTGTGCAGTTGCGCGGACACGTCCGCGGGGTCAGCGGCGTGGCCACGTCCACGAATTTGGCCGCGCTTGGCCGCCGCCGAGGGTGTTTCATAGCGCATTTATGTTATTGTCGAAAGCCAACTCCTCGTTGGCGGCTGTATTATTTTTGTGGAGTTTGACCCGAGTTGGTCGAGTTTTATTTTGATCTTGTGTATCTAATGATGATTTTGATTCTTTCGATTATCATTGGAAATGGGATATACATTCCTATCGACTAAGTACGGTTCCTTTTGGTATAACTATGTGTAATTGTTATAACTTTCTTTTGACTTGTGTTTGAAGGGACAAGGTGGTTTCACGCTTGGTTGAGACCATCTTTGTCGACCGGTGTACACTTCGTACTTAGGAGATCAGCGCCCTAAGGAACGGACGACGTCTAGGTTCAATAGGCGTTTTAATCGCGCATACCTATACTACAGCGAGCGAGCAAACGCCCTCGACTGACCCATCTCTACAGTACATGTAAAAACTTTCACACGTGGGTCAGTAGTTCGGTAGGGATACGCCCCTAAGGGTGGTCACAGCCTCTTAGGGAAACAAGCTTATACCTCGCGGGAACCTGTCCTGTCGTAGGGGACCATGGGATGTATGGGTGGCGCACCCAACTAGAGTAGCAAAGGGACGACGCGACCGCGACCGTCTCGGCGGTCAGTGGGATTAACTATGTGTCGTCCCCGAGTTGTCTCTTTGGTTATGTTTTGCTTAAACTCCTGTGTGACACGGCCGGGAGGGCTCCCGCCCTCCTGCAAGAAAAGGCGGGGGCCGATGCTCTCGACAACGTTTTATTCCGGCCAGGAAAAATCCATAAAAATCAAGGCCGCGGAATCGGGGGCGCCATCTGCGGCCGCGGCCACAAACGTTGCCGCCACAGCCGTTGGAGCCCGTGGCCGCGGGCGCAGGGGGGGGGTTGGCGCACGGCCCTGGCAGGTAGCGTAGGAAAAATAAATATACGGGTGTCGGTAACACCCCACATAGCAGATACCCCGTCCATGTCTCTCTCTCTCTCTCTCTCTCTCTCTCTCTCTCTCTCTCTCTCTCTCTCTCTCTCTCTCTTTCTCTCTCTCTATCCCTCCCTCCTTCCCTC